TTTTTCTGAAAGTTTTTGAGTTTTCTTCTCTCTTTTTACTATACTAAATGTCATCGCATCCATTCATTTTGGTGGTGCCTTCCCTTCTCTGCACGTGTCCAAATTATTAACCAATTTTTTTATCATTTTTTTTATAATACGTGATAGTCCAATATTGTTTTATATAAAATTGTTTTATATCTTATTTTTTTCGTGCAACCACTAACTCATTTTTGCATTCTTATTTTCACAATTGTCACTTTTTTCTCATATTATTCTTTTAAATCTTAAAATTCACTATTATATAGGATAGTTAGTCATATAACTATGTAATTAATTTTTTTCTTTAATTCGGTAGGTATTTTACAATTACAAAGAATTCAATATATATTTCTAATTTAACCCTCCAACTTGTATTTTATCAATAAAATATTTATTAATTTTTCTATCACTTCATAAAATCAATCTAAAGTATCTAAACTTAGTAACTTATGATATAATGTTATTTTTAATTTTGACTTCTAACACATAATCATCATCCTGTTTCTTGCTAAAATTGTAATGTATACTTTGTTTTATTTCTAATTAAACAAAAACCTTGAGATTCTAAAGTATGTCTTATAAGTTTTTAATTTTTCTTCTTATTTTACTTCTACTTTACAATACTAACTATATTACCAAGGCATAAGCAATATAGTTAATATAGTTAGTATCAACATTAATCATATCTATATGCCTCAAAAGTTCTTTTATTTTCTTTCTTGTTTTCTTGCTACTATACTTTGTAACTTATCTAGTACTTCATTGGGCAGTTTACAAGATTCAAATTTTTTTTATTTGGGATATCACTTTTAATTTTTACTTTCTAATGAACTCCTTGATTTGAACCTTGATTACCAACAAGATTTTCAACCTTCACATTGTCATTCCACTTTTTAAATAAAGTGAACAATACTCTTGTTCATAGACAAGTGTATTTGTCAAAAAGTAATAAAAGAGTTATCAAATCAAGTTCTTGAAATATTGTTCTACAATTAATGATTGTTCCAAGTACCAAAAATATATTAATTTAATTGTTTGAAGTTAAGAGATGCATAATAGAATTAAGCTCAAAGTAAATCAGATTAACAAGTAATTGAACGCAATAAAATAATGTACTTTCAGTTAGACTATTGGAAAATAACGTAGAGTACTTCACTTTTACACTTCTTTATTTTTATTCTTAATATAATAGACGACTATTAACTACATGTAGTATAGTCGTCTATTATATAATTAATTATAAGATGCTAAGAATAGTCAATTCTAAACATACATTTGTATACACTAGAATAAAAATCAATTATAAACAGAAACTAAAATTATTATTAAGTGTAAAGATTACATAAATTCATATAAAGGGTTCACCATAGCTTTGACTATGGATTTAGTTATGCATTATAAAGTAAGCAATCAAAACAACTGTAAAAAAATTCATAGACATGAAAGAAAAATGGAAACAAAAAAAATTTCTAAAAAAAAAAGGGATAGAAAGAGCTCTTGTTCTTCCAACTTGCTCTTGATTACTTGTTAGGACTCCATAAGAACTTTCTTTATTTACACCAATGACTTCAAGTACTATCAGAAGTGTGTTAAAATTAGGATGCCTCTGTCATATGTTACCTTCAAGAGATATGATAATATAATATATCTTGGGAAAAAGATATGATTTGCCAAAAGTCCTTATTAGGTTTTAAAACACATGTACATAATGATTCATAACTCACCATAACACTCCATTACAACCCATTAAAGAAAATAATAGTTGAAACTTAAGAGACACAATGGTTGTCAAATTTATCAAAAAAGTCATCACATCTCAACAAAAAATTTTGTTGGTCTACTTATATTTTGATAATTTGTCCTACACTAGAAATGATAAAGGTATGCTTAGAAGGATGTATTACTTTCTTGACATAAAGGTGATTCATTTAAATGCATGTATTTTATTTCTCAAACAAAAGTATGTTAAAATTTTTTAAATAAGTTCCAAATCAAGAATTGGAATTCACTTAGTACACCGACAAAGATAAATTTAATTAAATCTTGTGAAAGATCGGTGAAAATTTGTTAACAATACCCTTTACAAGAAGATTGCTAGAATACCTTACTGCAACAAGATCACATATAACACAAGTTGGTAGTTTAGTTAGCAATTCTAAGAATGTCCAAAGGAAATGCATTTACTAGAAACACAATAATATTTTAAATATATGCAAGCCACAATTGATTGTGGCATATTATATAGAAGAAGAAAAAAAAATCAAATTTATTTATTTGGTGAAATTTATTGATAGTGACTATTCAGAAAATTTAGATAATAAGAAAATCACATTCAATTATGTTTCTATGATAAGATTAATAACTATGTCTTGGTCATCGTGAAAGTAACCTATTGTTACTTTGTTCCCAACATAAGCAAAATTTGTAGTAGCTTCAACAAATGCTTGCCAAACAATTTAGTTAAGAAATATTCTTAAATAAATTCATTCAAACAACAAGGACCAACACTCATATATATGATAATAATTCAAACTATAAAACTATCTAAAAATCTTGTTATGTATGGAAGAAGAAAACACATATATGTGATGTTTCACCTTTTTAGGAACCTATCAAATGAAGGAATAGTTGATATTCTCTAATGCAAGAGTAAAGAACAAATTGTTAATGTAATGACCAAGTCATTGGAGTTGCCTGCACTTCAAAAGCTATTAAATTGAATGCTTGCAAATGAATATTCACAAAATTTCAATTTAAGGGAGGAAATATTGAATAAGTCAAACTATTTTTTTGTTTTTTATTTTTATTTTTTGCTATTTTTTTTTTTTGAATATTTAGTTGTTAATAGTTGTTTGTTATGAATAATCCTATCTACTCTGCATAATTTTAAGAGTAAGTTACTACTTTTATATCTAATTAGAAAAAAAAAAAGGCTTATTAATTAATGAATATGATTATATTTCCTCTCAACATCTACCATTTTCCTATTTTGTTTTTGCACTTTCTAACTAACTCTTTATAAGTGTAATTTCTTTGAATTTATTCATTAATATGTATTTTTTTACTTATTTATATAAATATTATATCTATCTAAAATAATAAATTTAATTTATTTTACTAAAAACTTAAGCTAATTTGCACTAAAAAATTTAAAATATAACAGTAATTTATTATAATATTTTTGGGCTTATAAGTTAAATTTGTTCATACCTAACTTGTGCAACAAATTTTTCATTAACATAACTGGATTGTAAAAATGTATAAATTGACCGACTTTATTGTTTACAATTCTGAATGAATGAATAATGTTTTTAAGAATATTAACTAAAATTTTAATATAGTAATTTAACGTGTTCAACCTACTTTAAAATATTTTTTTAACTAGTTTATATTTTTATATATTTTAATTCAAAAATAATAACAATAATGAATATATTTTGACTTAAAAATACAAGTATAAATTAAAAAATATTTTTTTAAATATAAACTAATCATATTAATTTCAAATTAAAAATACAAGTATAAATTAAAAATTTATTTTTTAAATAAGTATTCACACTTATAGATAGCTTTTTTTTTTATCTTTGATTTAATATTAAATTACTGTAAAGAATAGAGAAAAAATAGAAATAGAAATTGTTGAGATAAAGATTATGTTTGTTTTTTTTTAAAAAAAAGAATTTCTATTTTTAAAAAATAAAATATAATGTAAATTTATACTATATTTTATTTTTAATAACAGAAAACCCTTTTTAAAAAAAGAAACAAACATACTCAAACTCTTTTGGTTTCTGAGTTCTTTCTCTCACACATTTTTTATTTAGGTTGATTAATTAAAGACAAAATATTTCGAGATGATTCAATTTCATCTTTAAATTCTTTGTTTAATACATTTTTGTTTAATAATTTCTCAAAAATGAGATGAAATTAAAGATAAATTGTATCCGAGATAAAGAAAAAAGAAAAAATATGACTCTAACGTTCATCTATAAAAATACATGTGTATTTTATTTTAACTTATAAATTTTATCCCTAAATTATAAACATATATATAATAATTGAAATTATAAATATGTTTATAATTATGCACTTCGATGTCCAAGCACCATCAATTATGAATATCAAATAATAATTGAAATAAACATATTTATAACATAAAAAATATTGATAAATTAATCTTATATCTCTGAATTCAATGAAAACGTATAATTTCTAATGGAACACGGAGTTAGATGTTTGTTATAGATTATCTCAAAATTATAATCTCTATTATATTAAAAGAAAGTTATTGTTAATTAAAGTATCAATTCATATAAAAATATTTTTTTATTATATCAAAATTATAAATATTGTACGATTCATATTTTATGATAATTTAAAGGTATGTTTAATATTTCTTAACATCTGTTATTAGCACATAATAATAATAATTGACATATATTACACAAATTACTAACTACTTGTTCACGTTAGACGGTGTGAAGTTCTTGAACAGAGGCTGTTCTTCGAGTTCTTATTACGTCAAATTATTGTGATGTTTTTGGTTTTGATAGCTTTGGGCCTTTGTGGACGAAATTGGGTAATATAAAGCAGTTCGGTATTTGGGCGACCAAAGAAAAAGGTAGTTAGGAATTGCTATTTAGTGTCTGAAACCAGAGAGATTCATTTATACTTCATATTTTTTTTATACTGCTACTGCTACGTACCATCCCTTTGATTTCTACTTTTACGTTTTATTTTCTTACACTGACGAGGTTGTCTCTTGTAAAAATTTCTATTTGGTTACTTTATCTTATAATTCTGTTTTATTTGGTCTTCCCAATTGCATGCTTCTTTCCAGAATATGTACCCACAATATATTAATAAAGGCAACATGAAAGCAGAATGAAAAGATAAACATGTAAAGAAACTAGTGACAAATTTCCTGTCAGTCTGTTCTAAGATTAGGACCTTTAAATGATCTATATCCACACACATGATTGCTATAACATATTTCATTAGAATATACATAACCAACCACAATAATTGATTTGTATATTAATTGTGGATCAAATCACATTACATGTGCTCCTGTTCCATTAGGAAATTAAAACCGAATTATACAAAATCAAAGAGAATCCAAAGGTGCCTAATATGATCTGCATACCCACTGAAATCCATAGCATGATTTAAATTCACAATTAAAACTATTAATTGTTGATTATCCATCCTTATGAACAAGGAGCTACTAAAACAGAACTTGTTGGCAAGAGCAGAAAGGGGGGATCCCAGGCATAGGAGAAGTTAACAGTAGCAAAACCATTCAAGGGATTGCCATTTATAAGGATGCAGCTATCACCTGTCATAGAAAGAACAGAAGGGTCAATACTTTCTGCACTTTGGAACCCTTTGCAAGCCAACTTTATCTGACTTTGCGCACAAGAACAGTTATTGATCACAGTCACGTTCCACTCTGGCTTGCCCTGAATTTCTCTCCCACTTCTTCTTGTGCCAATATTGATGTTGTTCAAGGAACAATCACAAGACCCTGAAAATTTCATGGATCAATTAATCACCCACAAAACAAGAGTATGAGGGAGAATCAAGGTGAAAGCAGAAAAATATAAATTGGTCAGGAATTAGGATAGTGAAAGGTGAGAAGAGAAATTAAAAAAGAAAAAACAAGGGAATTAGAACATACCTTTGATGATAAGGGTAAGGAAGAGGATGGAAATAGGGTACGTGAAGGTTCTTTCCATTGTCCTTGGTGACTGACTCTTACCGCTTAGGGTGTCTAATTAAATACGAAAAAGCTATAGTCTGGGCCAATGAACAAGGCTTGACATGTGTGTGCTTTGTTAAATTAACTTTTTTTTATGAAACTTTGATTGGAACGTCTTATACTTGTATGATGGGATCGTTTGAATTGGATTCTCTTAACTATCACTGTAGAAACATAATTAAGTGACTTCAATTCCTGTTTTCTCTAATATCTCTTTGACTATCTCTCCAATTAAATCACATCAAGTCTCTATTAGAAATTAGCTAGTGTTTAATTTCTTTTTAATTTCGTTTGCATATGAAGGGTTCCTTTATGATTACTTACCACAATAATATATTTGGAGAACTTTATTGAAGCTAGAATTTCAGCAAGGTGAAAAATCGCTCTTAGCCACTATATTGGTCCTAAGCTACTTTTACAATGTTCAACAGCTTTTGTTATATGGTCACGGGACATTTTCATCTCATACTTTACTTTTTATATATTTTTTCTTCTTATTTAAATAATCAGTATATGCATGTAAGTCTTCTTTGCATTTATACCTAATGTTTTGATATTTTTTTCTTTCTGACATCCTGAGTAGATGAAAATAGGACAAACAAGGATTTTTTTTTTCTTTTGGAAAGTACGAAACTAAACTACTGAAAATAATCATGTTCTTAACTTCGTAGAGTAAATATTCAATTTTTTTGGATATTATAAGTTGATTTTTTTATAATATAAGTGGATAACTTATCTTTAATTTTTCAAAACTGTGACTTTAGTACTTAATTTTTCAAAAATAGCTCATTTTAATTTTTTTACATCAAATTTTATTGTCATCTTATATAAAAAGACTAATGTAAATGTCATTTTACAAATTAGAAATTAAAATATTTTTTTTTATAAAATTAGGAGTTAAAATAGTTAACGCTTAAAATCTAAGAGATTAAAAGAAATATTTACTTATTTTTTATAATTAAGAGTTATCAACCATATGCTATTATGTATTAAATTCAAGTATTTACTTTTAAATAAAAATTATTTTAAAAAAATATTTTTAGAAAGTTATTTTCTTTCTTGATATGTTATGAATTTTTTTTATCAATGTTTAATATTTTTTTATTCATTGTAAATATTATTTTTTCATTTACAAATTTAGTTTGATTCAAATTTAGGTATACTATGCAACATCTTTATTTTATTTATACAATTTAAGAAAATAATTTTATATTAGAAAGAGGAATTAAATTAAATTCACTTATAATTAAAGTGAAAAATTTTAAAAATTTAAAACTTTCATTCTTGTTACTTAAATTCGTAAAGTTTTCTAATAATAAGGCAATAGAAAATGAATAAATTTGGATAAAAAGCTGAAATAAAATACATATACACAGGCTTCATTAATATACAAGAGTTTAATAATTACAAAACATAAATTCAAAATGCATTAGAACCCATTTACGAAAGATATAAAATACAGCAAGTCCTAATGTGATCAAAAGACTGAAAATGATCCTAGTCATCATCCCCAAACTATTCATCTATCTCTGCTAATTCTTCTGGTGATATGTCCTCGTCTTCACTGAAATCGCCCGTGTTGGCCACCACCTTAGTACTTGTGACTCACTCTGAGGTAAATTGGTTTAGTCTTCCATAATGATTATGATTCAAAAAAGTGTATACGTAATTCACTACATCTGGTGGTCTGACTAAACTTCTGTATATGTACAAGTAAAAAGTGTGGTGAATCCTACCACTACTAGGGTAATCAAAAGAAATATCATACCCTATTGTCATTTCTAAAGTAAATATAATATCAGAGCCAGTATTACTATTTACAATAAATCTACAATGGCATAATTGCTGTCACTCCCTAAATACGTAGTTTAATACTACTAATGAGCAACTCTGATAGTCTAACAAGTCTTTAGGGATGTAACATCTTTACTCTCTAAAAGAATTTCTAAAGATGAGCCTCTTTTCTCATTACTAAACATGATCCACAAGAAGATCAGGCAATACAAACATGAATAACACATCAATCAATCAGAAATACAAATTTCATTTTCATATACATACACTAATAATTAATACTATGATTTTATTCTATTTTTTCTTTCTACTATTCTTGAATTTGTCATTTCAAACTTTCATTGCCCTTTGGATCCCTTGAGGTCTTCCTTAGTATATATAGTTGTTGGATAGCTACAACAACACAAATACAACATGTGCCAACCCGATCCCTTTTAGCAAAATTATAGTAAGATGTTTATGTTAGGAAATGAGTGTAAGGTTTGTAGTGCTTTTACTCATTATTTATGCACAAATCAAAGAAAAACATCTACCACCCTCATTTTTTCAAGATTTATAAAATTGCCTTCATCTTCCACACTTTCAGTATATCTCTGAATTATCCACACTTGTACTTATCATCTTGCTTGTCTCATCACCATTTCCTCTTCTCATATTTCTCATTATATCATGAGTTTATCACTTTTTCTTTCTCATTATGACTCTACTCTTTTACCTTACTGAGCTTGTTATTTTCATACTAACATGCTCATCTTTTTCTCTTTTTATTTTATTCAAGTTCACTACCTATATCATATACTAATCATTCATTGTTGGAGATCAAGCACCTCCAGACTTAGTCCACAATGTACACACACACATATGCTAAGACCACATATCACTCAAATCATCAAAGACAAGGAAAACATATTTCACTCAAATATATATTCACAAGCAAGTAATACACAATAACATTCACATGAGCAAAAACACATCATGTTCTCAATAATGGAATAAAGCTCTCTTTACCTTGAATAGATCATTTTGAGAAGAAGTTAGGGAAAAAGACCATCCAAAAGACTAAGGTCTTCCTACATATTATAGAGAGGAGTACCTTTTGAGAAAAGGAAAAATAGAGAAAATAGAGATGAGATTAAAGAGCTAAGCTTTGAGATACTCACTAGTAATTCAATAGATTAGAGATTCAAATTTTGATTCAGAGCTCAGGGAGTTTCTCTGGGAGAAGGGAAGAGAGAGTTCAGATAAAAGGGTCAAGAAAGTTTTGTTGGATTTTAATGCAAGTTTTTGAGCTAGAAATTCCATAAATACCCCTTAAATCTCGCGCGCTCCAGTTGAATGAGCGGGCTCTCGCTTGAGCAAAACCTTCTCACCTGGACGAGAAGACGTCTAGAGAGCTAGCCATTTTTTCTGTGAGTCCTCGCCTGAGCAACTCATCTCGCTTGGGCGAGATCCCTTTTCACTTGAGCAAGATCACTTCTCGCCTGGGCTAGAGGACAATTGGGCCAAATTTATCTTGTTTTTGCTTGAGCGAAACGCATCTCGCTTAAGCGAGAATACCCTTAAAGGTTATAGTTTTGGACATTTAGTATCGCCTAAGTGAGACTTCTTGCATCTATACCTAATGTTTTGATTTTGTTTTTTCTTTCTGACATCCTGAGTAGATAAAAATGGGACAAACAAGGATTTTTTCTTTCTTTTGGAAAGTATGAAACTAAACTACTGAAAATAATCATGTTCTTCAATTTTGTTTCGATATTATAAGTGGATAACTTTAATCTTTAATTTTATAAAATTGTGATTTTAGTCCTTAATTTTTTAAAAATAACTCATTTTAATTTTTGACATCAAATTTCATTGTCATCTTATATAAAAAGGCTAATATAAATGTTATTTTATAAATTATAAATTAAATTATTTTTTTTATAAAATTATGAATAAAAATATTAACGCTTATAATTCAAGAAATTAAAATGAATATTTACTCAATTTCTATAATGAACAGTTATCCACCATCTACTATTATGTATTAAATTTAAGTATTCATTTTTGAATTGAAAATTATTTTAATGAGTATTTTTAGAAGTTATTCTTTTTTTTTTGTTATATTATGAATTTTTTTTATCTATGTTTAATATTTTTTATAATTTTTTATTCATTTCAAATATTATTTTTTCATTTACAAATTTAGTTTGATTCAAATTTAGGTACACTATGTTAAATTAAATATATATTTTAAAATAAATTAAGTCAGAAAACTATTGTAATCTTAATCGATCTTAATTTAAATTTGATAATAAAGATTTTAATTTTTATAAACCATATTAATAAAAATAAAAATTGTTTTTGAAATGAAGTTTTTTTAATTTTTATAAAATTTTATTTTTAAAAAATTTTATTAATTTAATTTAGTCTTATTTAATATAGTTATTGTTGATAATAAAAATATTCATGCATAGGTATAACACCATTAGCAATAACAAGGAACATTCTGCTTGACTTGAAGAAAATACCCATATCTATATTGGAGAGGTTATAACCAAAGATATTATAAAGCTAATATCAGCATGGGCAGTCAAGTTACAAGTATTCTTATTAACATAATTATAATTCTGGTTCCATATCAATATTCAATGAGAAAATCAACATGAAAAACTATACCGAAGAAGTTGACAGTTCAAACCTCTTCATTCATAATGGAGACCAAGGCCAATTTTAAAAATCATGAGGCTTCAAGAAGAAGTAAAGCCTATATGGCTGACACTTCGATTGGCAGATAAGAATTTGGAAAAAACTCATAAAAGAACTCAAAAATTTTGAAAAATAATATAAAGAAAAAGAGGAGTTTGCAAAAATTCCATAAGAGATGTCATCATATGCTAAGTTTATAAAGGAGCTTTTAGTAAAAAAAAAAAGAAAAGAAAAGAAAAGAAAAAGATGATTACAAAATAAAATAAAAAAGAAGAAAACAAAAGGAAAAAAAATTTGAAATAAATATTTAAAATAGATATTGGGCAGAGTTTAATATTTTTTAATTTCTTACAAGTTAATGAAAATATAAATTTTTACTCAAGCTAAATAGATATTCAGTGAACAGAATTATTAGATTTGTGATGTTAATACAATAATTATATATTTAGGAGATAATTCAATCTTTTTGTTCATATAATTATGGTTTTAATTCAGTCATTTCATTTTTCAATTGAGAAAAAAATAAAATTATAGTGTTTGGATGTATCATACAAGAA